GGAACACTATGTTTAGTTTGAAAACTCGCCCTTTATAATTTTGTATCAGCACTATAGTTCGGAAGAATTTGATGTTGTAACTCTTTAATTATCCCCATTTCAGTGCGTTCAATCGTTATTTGGCTTCGTATTTATATACTCAGATACTTTGGCAAGGTAACAAGCAAACCAAAGTAGAGTTGTTTATCAAATTAATAGTATACCCGGTATAAAAGGGTAGCTGGTCCTATCAAATTTTGGTCGTACTCTCTATTGATTTATATGGTGACCTAATAGCAATTATTTTCCTTATTATTTATACACAGTCAGGGCCAGTAAGGGCCGTAAGTAAAGGGGACCATAATCCCCAGGGGACCATAATTTCTTGTACACCGGGTCAAATAACAAAATTATACTGGGGCCACACCTAAGCTAGGTATTTTGCAATCAGGGGATAATTGCCCGTATATTCCAGTGTCATTATATTAATCATCTGCCTACTTCTTTCATATTTAACTGATACCCAAACTTATTACGATTATTAAACATAAATAATTAATTTCACTAAGCTACATGTGTATGAGATTCTTTATTTAAAATGAACGACAAAATATATGCATACTATTTACAGTGTACAATACATAATCAATTGGATGAGCAGTTAACTATTTTTCAACATGTTCAAAAATCAATCAAAATTAAAAATACTGTCGGCTAAAAAATATATGCTGTTCTTATTCTGTTAACCATTGGATATACAACTTTTAAATTGGATAATTTTCACAGATGTATAGTCTTGGATAATCCAGGGTTACCAAATAATATTTCATTACACGTAATACCTACGAAATGCTTATCTCATAAATATTTAACTTTTTTGCATTCATAGAACTAATGCACCAGGTTGTCCTGAACTAAACAATCTTGACACAGTTCATTTTGTACTTCTTCATTAATTTTCTGGTGGAAATATTCTATGCATAATTTTCCACTGTAATTCTATCATTTTTGTTTCTATAAATAATTCTTTTGTAAGGGTCCATTGTTTTTCACTAAATCTATCTGGACCAATGGTCAATCTATGTTTAGTTAATTCAAGTCCTACATTTTTACATGTTAAATCTTTTACATTAATGTTTCTGAAAGAAAGTCTTGAAATAATAGAATTGACTATTGTATACTGAAACCAAGTATAGGGTTTATTCTAAATAATACAACTCTATTATTATACAAATTATCATTTTAAAGTCCATGGTTCTTATTGCATTCCTACCATGTAATTAACAATTTTTTTATAAAAGTTTGACTTTATGTTATCAATACTTATGAATTTAGCCTCTGATACAGAAGACTTAAACACACTCAGGTTTTGCCTAGTTTATTAAAATACAATTTTAACAGGTTTTTAACCCATTTTAATAAGTACTAAGCTTTCTGGATAGTATGTACATGAATCATTTTTAAACCACCCTTGTTATAATCCTGTATTGTGATATCTCTTTTTACTTTTTCTGGCATCCGTTTCGGGTCTTCCTCTTTAAATTTGCTCTTTGACCAGAGGAACTTAAACATGTGAACATTGATTCGATTAAGCATGTTGTCAGGCATAACAAAAGTTTGCATTAAATAATTAAACTGAGATGTCAATAATGACTTAATCAGTGTAATTCTGGTATTTTCTCGCATTTTTCGAATTTAGACTGCACATTGTCATCTAAATCAAAAATATGTTTTTGTTGTGGAAAAAGATACACCTAACATTTGTATATCATTGTTTGGGAATAGCTTCCATTTAATATCTAAAAATTGTTCCTGGCTATATCTTTGTCTCCCAAGCCACATGGCTTCTGTTTTACGTTTATTTACATCTAAACCTGATATTTCTTTGAATGAGCTATTAACAGTGAATAGTTCTCTAAGTGATGCTTCATCTTTAACAAAATTTGTGGTATCATCAGCATACTGTGATATCTTGTTGATTGGATACTTATATACCTTCAATTTGATCACACTGACGAATTTCCAATGCCAATGGGGCGAAATTACAGCCCTGCCGAATGCCCCTTTCAAGACTAAATGGCTCAGAAATCCAACCATTGTTATTTATACAACTAACACGTTCATTATTTAAAACATTTATCCAGGTCGTCAAAAATGAATCACCGAAGCCAAATCTTCTAAATGAATCTAAAATAAAGTCTTTAGATATACTATCATACGCAGCCGAAAAATCCACTCCTACAATAATGCCATCTATTTCTTTATCTATTTAATATTCAATAATATCATCAATTAATCGAAGAGTCATACCAGCATATCAACCATTGATATATCCACACTGATCTTCATTTACAATCGATTTAATCACTGATTTCAATCTATTTGGTTGCTATCTTATAATCACTGTTTTGAACTGATATGGGGCGCCAGTTAGGCAGTTCCTCTCGGGGAAGGTTTTTTCCCTTATAAATTAATGTTATAACTGCTTGTCTTTGAGACCATGATAATTGACCATTTACATAGCCATCGTTCAATGAATTCACTACTAGACTGTTAATTTTAAATTTTAAATGCCGATGTTTGTCCATTACTCTCAATCCTGGACTTGAATTATTGTCCATTGTTTTTAGGGCTTGGCTACATTCTTCTATAGTTAGAAGACCTTCACAATGATTGCGCTCCAGCTGGGACAGTTTGGGGAGATCAATGCTTAGGATATATTGAGCTAGCTTAATGGGGTCATAATTAAGGATACTCTTGTATCGAGTAGTGTATAATTGCACTTGTTCCTTCATAATATTCTCGTTTGATGTGACATTAATACCATCTGCTGTTCTGCATGATTACATTGTTTCAAAGACCAGAACACCAAGGGACATTTCATTCATACTGAAGTCATGACAATACATGTATAAGTAAAAATTGATAGCCAATACTCATAACCTCAAAAATAGTTGTAGATACAAGTACTCATACAAGATAGAGAATTCAGTCTCAAATGATGTGGGATAGACAAAATCCAGTCTCTTCCAAGTCCATAGGCGTTTTAAAGGGTCAACATCCATTCTAAAAAGCCGTCGCCATAATCTATTAAACACAAGAATTCACAATGGTCATCAGGAATTAAGACATACACATAGGTCTACGAGTGCATTAATGCTCCTACAATTCATATAATCTGAATAATCTGAAACGTTAGAAATGAACCCTTCAAAGAATGTATCATGCCCCAAGTACGTACCGTAGGTACGTGGGTACGAGTTATAAGGTTTTCTATACAAAGCCCGAAGTATTGACTGAGGGAATACTAGTAGAGTGATCGAATGACAATAACATAATTACACAAGGCAATACTAGTATACCTATTGTCAAAGGGCAAAACCCATAGCATTAAACTGTTTATTCCATAAAAATTCCAATCAGCAAAAACAATCCAATATAATTTGAAATGAACAAAAAATGCAACAAATGTTTGGCCAAACCATTGGAGAAAATTATTATTTGCATGTACTTTGTATACAGTGGTACCTGTATCAATACTACTACAAATAACACTATTCGTAAAGTCATTTGAAACAAACCCCTTTACAGAAGGCACTTTCGAAACATCCAAGATGGTTGATGATAAAGAAAGATACACATGGGACGACTTAATTAAAATAAAATGGTATTGAATCATGTTTTGAAACATCGCAAATGTGTAACATTTCAAATATCCATTTACACTATACAATACAAATATATAAACAAGTATTTCATATTATGTGTTTTACTAGGTGTTTATGTTTTACTGTACATACTTTACACGACACAGTCATGTAGACATATCCATGCTCATTTCTATAATACGCAATTATGCCACAATGAATACACAGGGTATTAAGCACCCACCATAGAATATATCATGCCATCTATGGACCATATATAACTCTATCTATAAACATCATTGCATAAAATAGAGTACATCTTAATGTCGCTCTAAGTGACATCTTTTCATACACTACAGCATACACTAAGGTCATGACCTATGAGGTAAAAATGACAAATGGATTATCAGATAATGCTTATCTCATTTAGATCATTTTTTTCTTTTTGGAGATCAATCATGTGACATAGCTCAGTGTTTTCGTGCATTAAACTTATTAAAAAATTGCTACTTTTAGGTCAAAAATTCAGCCTAAAAAATCATTGTTTTCGGATTATCCTAATCCCAAAGTATAGTAATTAAGTTTTCCTTTTTAGAGGTAAATCATTCCTTACAATAAATTGTAATTTTGCCATAAAAGCTGAAATAAAATGCTGCATTTTTGGTGAAAATTGCGTCAGAACTAGGGAAAATTGGTGAAGATGGTTGGATTAGGAACAGCTTAAAAGATAATCCATTCAACTTGATTATCATCCTACTGTCATTTATTGAAGACAAGACATGGATCTAACAGAACCATTTGTTTTTGTGGTTAAAGTATTCTTAGAACCAAAGATATAGCCCTTTGAAAATGGCTTGCCATATCTTACATGCCCCTTTCAACCTATTTGCAAGAGATTTGGCTGCTATCTTATAATCACTGTTTAGAACTGATACGGGGCACCAATTAGGCAGTTCCTCTCGGGGAAGGTTTTTTCGTTTATAGATAAATGTTATAACTGCTTGTCTTTGAGACCATGATAATTGACCATTTACATAGCCATCGTCCAATGAATTCACCACTAGACTGTTAATGTTACTCCAAAATACTTTCATAAATGCCGATGCTAGTCGAACCAATCCTGAACTTAAGTTATTGTCTATTGTCTTTAGGGCTTGGCTACATTCTTTTACATTTAAAGACCTTCACAATGATTACGCTCTAGCTGGGACAGTTTGGGGAGATCAATGCCTTTGATAATGCCTTTGATCTAGCTTTATGGGGTGATAATTAAGGATACTCTTGTATCGAGTAGTGTAAATTTGCACTTGTTCCTTTATAAGATTCTCCTTTGATGTGACAGTAACACCATCTGCTGTTCTGCATGGTGACATTGTTTTCTGCTGTGCTTTAGCTTTTTCCAGGTTCAGGAAATAACTGGTGTTCCTCTCACCCTGCTCAGCCCAAATGGCCTTCGAACGAATTTGGGCACCCCTGGCTATGGAAATACACAAAGTGCTGAATTCTATTTGTAACTGGATCAACTTCGCTACTAAATCAGGATTGTCAGTCTCATTCGCAAGTTCAGAGGATGCAACTTTAAAATTAAAATTACTTAAACTAGTTGTCTTTGTCACTTTGTCACTTCATCAACCGCTGATACATCAGCAAGTGAGTAATTACTTGAGTTAAGTTCTGCCTTCCAGTTTTCCGAGTTTGCTTGGTTTGAGTGCGGTATGATGCTAACATTTGTCTGTGAGATTGTTGCGTCCCGACTCAAACTCAACCTCATACATCCTCCATAGATTGTTTTCTTTCGACATAATAACTTTTTCAAAGAATCGCGAAATTTCTTCCCACTCAGGCAATACATGACGAAGTTCAAAGCACTGTTAAGATACATTAGCATGTGTACAATAGCCTGAGATAGAACCGATCGTGCTTGTTCAGCTAATGTAGTCGGAGCTCGCTCAACCGTGTTGGCCCGTTTGCTTAGTTTAATGATGATGTCGAAACTGACTGGAGCCGTGAAACAAAGAAATAATACAGATATCATCACAAGCATAATTGTCATAGATCGTGTTTTATCGTCTTTGTTCGAATTGGAGACGTTTAGTTTTTTTCTCCTGTTGTTCCTCACTCTCAACAACTGGATTATGATTAACATGTTGCAAACAATCAAAATAGAAAATGGCGCAAGTGAGGAGACTGATGCATCAATCCAAGGCCAGTATGAAATGTGAAATCCTTCAAAACCCTCCACGATAAAGCACCTGCTATTGCCCCGATATCCAATTGTAAATAACAAATTGCAGTTGATGCCAATGATGATCAGTACGACTAGGTTGATAACAATTATGGCGTTCCTTCTTGTGCATATTGATCTTGCTCTCAATGGGAGGTACACGAAGATGACTCTGTCAATTGTGACGCTCACCAACATCCAGGCGGATAGGTCAATAAATAAATAGGTGAAGAACACGTGGATCTTGCAGGCCCATTCATGTGTCTTCCTTATATCAAAATTAAATAAAACCGAAAGCCATGGATGACCAAGACCAATAATGAGTGCTCCTGTGTCAGATACCGCCAACGCGGAGAGATATATGGACATGTTGGCCTGCTTCATGCTTGTAAATGTCGTGACTAGAAATGATAGAATATTACCAATGACTCCAAGTACGATTATGACAGGTGACATATACTTCCAAAGGGCCATTCCTATTTGGTATTCTACATAGTCCTCGATGGAATGGGATCTTATTGAAGTTGTCGTTATTGTTGAATTATGAAATTTACCAAATGTAACATTTCTAGTTGTAGACGATTCCATCCCTATGCTTTTGACAGTATTGCTGATAGTTCGGAAAATTTGATGTTGTTACCCTCTTTATTTCCTGTTAAAGTGTTCAAACGTTATTCGACTTTGTATTTATATGTTCGGTAAGTTGGCAAGGTAACAAGCAAATCAAAAAGAGGCACTTTAAATGATTTTCCTAATGGATTAAGCCTATCAATAGAATACAACGCATCGATCATTCATTATCATTAATAATTGGATACATTTTATTTCTATTTGCACGAAGCTTGAAATAAGTCAAATCATGGGTGTTCTTATTGGTCATCTTTGTTTACTTTTAAATGAAAAAACACATATTTTATGTTTAATCATATCCAAGATTAATTTTTCTTCAAAATAATACTAAATATATTTATAGTCATCTAATTTTCTTTGAAATTTTTATTAAAGGGGAATCATGTCATATCATGTCAATGCCCATTTCGAAGTTCTCATATTTATTATACAGTAAGGATACCCTTCTGTTGAAAGCCAATTGTCGAAGCCACAGTGAGAATGATTGTATGAATAATATAGCCTTTTTTAGTACAGCGTGTCATACTATCATTATACTTTAGTATTGTTTTCATCAGAAATTGTGGCCTATTATTGTTTTGATGCGTTCAGTACGTTATATTGAATATTTCCGTCTCATAATGATCGATTTAATTAAATTCTGGTTTAAAATAGTTTAAAGAAGATTAAATAATCAAACGGTATGTGTATATTTAGTAAGCTATTTCGTTTTATCACAAAAATGCTTTTGTATATTTGTTTTCGCCACGTTCCAACTTTGATTGTAATGTCTCCTATATGCATTTCAATTGGTCGGAATTTTTCAGTCCCAGAACGTTCGATTTATTTCTGCTCTAGAATTCTGTAGTAAAAAGAATATGAAAGAGCTTGACAAGTGTATTTTGTATGTGTAGTTAGCTACTGCATTTTGTTTAATCACAGAACCTGTCGTATACTTTTATTTTTTGCAAGGGCATCGCAATAACAAATCGGGAGTTTTGATTAGGGGGGTATCATTTAAAAATTGGAAGTTTTTACTGAAAATATGTATCGTTAAATCATTTGAACACAAAATCAGAATATTTTATAACGAAAATCGGAATAATTTACGAAAAATTAGAATTTTAGATATTAGATATTTAACAAAAAAATATTGGGATATTGCCTTAAATCGGGATAAAAATCGGGCCTTTGAAAAATAAATCGGGGTAAGCAATAAAAATCGGGATTTCTCCCGCTTTAAAACGGAATTTGACAGGTGAGCCATAGTCACATTCAGATACACACATACGCAGATACGCAGCCTGAGTCTGACTTTTGAAAAAGCTATTTACAAAATCGAAGCATTAAATTGTGTTTTTCGAGAATTAATATCAGCTTCGACCATTTCTGTCGCCTTGATATCCATAGGGAATTTTTTGTTTCGTTCAGTGTCATCCGGCAATTTTGCCCACTCCATTTCTTCGCCTTTTGCAAACAGTGTAAACACAACAGCCCCAAGTACGTAAGTTCCGGCAAATATGAAGAACACAACTCGCCATTCTTCGGCTGTACCCTTGAAACGAAATAAAAACAATTAGTCTAAGGTCTACTTGTATTATGGTAAAATTCTAGTCACTAAAGTTATCACTGAAAATATATTTCAGAGAACTGTCATCTTTGTGGTACTCCTTTTGTGTTCAGACAAAATATAATTCGTATGGGCCAATGGTTCAAAACCATTAACCACTCCCGCTCGAAAACTGACATTGACTCCTGTTTTTCAAAGATGCAGTGTCTTATAGGACCACAGTTAAAGAGTCCATCCTATCTATCATACCTATCTTTTCATTGGAAGAGGTGAAACAGGTTCATCATTCTAATTTCCAACTGCCAGATACCAACTCTGGCTACTATTCCGGTGTAAATTTCAAGATTGTTATTAGAATCATCAAGTGACCAACGACGATCGTTAATTCAAGAACATGTAATTTTAAAAAGAACTCTGAATCTGATTGGCTGCCTTGGTGCAAGTCACGTGACATTTGAGATTCACATGGCGGGAATTCCTGTCGATGACGAAAAGCTCAAATTGCACTCAATTTGAACAATCGGTTGTTCTGTTGATTTTCTCAATATATTGGCAATAATGTGCTCATAAATTGGTCTTAATATATATTGAAGGTATATAATGTATTATATATAAGCAATTAAAATGGGAAATTACTGATTGCCATAAGAGACGTTGTCTCTTTAATAAAAGATCATCGTACATTAGTGGTTATTGCTCCAACGACCATCGGGGTGAAAATGCCTGGAATCGTTGCCATTGTATTTGTAATTCCAAATAATACACCAGCAAACCTTCAAATATAAACACATAGTTAAATAAAGATACGATTTATATTCTTTTAGCCACTATACAAAACAAGATATCGCCCAATAGAGAAGCAGATCGGGCTAACGCTAATAATTCCATCAGAACTTACCTTGGTGCTATGTCCACGTGATTGACATTGTAAGCACATCTACTCGCACCTGCCAGAGTGACACCTAGAGTTAAAAATACAACCGCCAGGGTGCGTCTGTCGCAGTCCATATATCCAATAGCAATCATGAATATCGCTGGACCGATAAAACCTAAAAAATGAAAAAAAAATATATAAGAATTGTTTTCAACACTAATTGCAACATACGGGGAACCAAGTAAAGACTTTAATATGTGTTATAATTACCAATTAATTGAAAAAGTTTTCTCGTCCATTCTGTAGATAATATATAGTTTCTCCGTAGAGCATCTGCAACTTGCCCTCCAACCAGGGCCGACACAAACATGCAAATGTAAGGCAATGCAGAGTAGAAACCATTCTGAAAAATATAACATTCTTGGAGATGATGATTATTTCATTACGGTATACTTCAAAATTTCCTGGTGAAGCAAAAATAGGGTCGATATTGACCCCCTATTGGCTTTTGAGATATTATCGACAATAGGGGGTCAAACTCAACGCGACACCTCCTCCCTCACGTCCCCATGGTAACAATCTTCGGAATCCAAAACATATTTGCACGTCAAGTCTTGTTTGGTGAAACATCCTTTTACTGCCATTTGATTTAAAGCAATACCATTTAAATGGGTAGATATGCTTTGTATTGGACAAAATGCCCCACGAAAAGAAGCTTAACATCGCTTGTATTCTAAAAAGTATAACGGATAAACCGTTTAAGGAATCCGTTTTAGAATATCACAGTACTATACTGCGACCGATTCCCAAAATGGTTTAGAAACGTCACGTCTTCTTTCAAAATCCATCCTGTTCAGATAATAGCAGGTTTGCCAAATGCTTACTGATCTTATGTCGAATCGTAATACATCCTTCATATATAATGGTAGGCATGTGAGCAGAGTATAAGTGCCCCAGTTGTTGCAGATATGAGCTACCACTATAGCTAAGAGGGGCGGTGATGTGAACATCGATTTCCAAGGAACTTTCGGCTTCTTATGGCTCTGTGAAGATCGTCCAATTGATTGCTCTATATAGTCTCGCTCTATCTCGGATATTCTCGGATGATCACGCGGTGAGTCAAATACGAAAAAGATCCATAAGAAAATCCATAAAAATGTTGCTCCGCCTAAATTAAGAAAACTACGTTTATGCTTCAGGGTAAAAAAGACAGAGCTTGTAAAATGTCATATAAAGGAAAACATGCTATATATATGTAACTATAATGCATGCAATACGTGCTACTTTTAAATTTTAAAAGTACAAAAAAACATGAACGATGCAAAATTTAATATGAACGAGAAAGGCCCGACAATGTACTTTGAATTGTATTAAATGTAGTTTGAGATTTTAAGGAATACATCGATAGATCAACTTTACATGTTGCTTTCAATTTTGTCACTGCCTGATTTTGCCTTTAATTACCTGCACAGTAGAATATCAGAGGCCATCCACCATCAATCCCCGTAGCACAAAACAATCCCGATGTTGTCAGAGCAAGCACATTTCCAACCATAGTACCTATGTTATGAGAAAACGCAAACATCTACTAACAACCCAAACATTCGTCGTGGATTCTAATACGAAAAAAAGTAAAAAAAGAACATGAAAAATATTGAGAAAAAATGGTCGACGACTCTAATACAAAGAAAAAGTAAAGAATTTCTCTATTGCCGTATATTGCCGTATTCATTTTATCTAATATTGTTGTATAAGTTGTAAATGAATAGTATAGGTAGAATAGCATGATGCAAGCCTGTGGCCTGGATTTGCCAAGGGGAGTTCACTTTTGAAAAATTTTCAGGGGGGTTCATATTTGACAATTTGCCCCAAAATGGTAAAAATCGCTTGAAAAGTGCCCAAAATGGTGAAAACTGCATGATTTTGAAAGAATTTTGGGCCGGGGGGGGGGTGGTGATCGCTATACCTATTTTCGCCTGTTTGCAATCCTCGTATCATGGCCCTGAACCCTTTGTACTTTTTGTTTAGATTTACTTCGAGCACCATCATTAACAGGGTCACATTAGTAATTTTACAACATACTTTACCTGAGAAACTAAATGTCATAAGTATACTTCTCTCCAATGGCGGTGCCCATTTTCCCCACAGCGAGTGCATGGCAGGAAAAACAACCCCCTGGAGTAAATAATACACAACGTTTCTTAAATATGCAATCACTATACCAGCAAGGGGATACGTGTACAGGAGGCAAATAGCGATCACAGATCCTGATCATTATGGCGTTTGGTGTTTTGGTTTAAAACTATTCACAACAATCTTTACGTAAAAATAACCTGATGATAAAATTCAGCTTTCAGTTTTAGATAATGTCGAACAGCAAAATTCGGTTTCAACATCACAAAGTTTGACAAGAGCTTAAGCCAGGAAATATTAATGACGATGCACGTGATGCAGAAAACTGGAGTAGCCTCGATTATGAAAATCTGAGTCAGAAGTCGACAAAAACACGTATTTTCGTGTTACCAACCTATTTTT